GGGCACCCTGGGGACGGCGGGTCCCCGGGGCGCTGCGGGGCTCAGGGGGGGCTGTGCATGGCGAAGGCAGGGGCGAGGGAGGGAGGGAAGGAGGGAGGGCGAGCGCTAGCAGCCGCCTCCTCCTCCTCCTTTGCAGCCTGAGCCCGGACTGTTTCTCTCTGCCGCTTTCCTCCTTCACAGCTCCCTCTGCCTGTCTCCCCACGAACACCGCGGGCCCTCCGCCGGGCCTTGCTGCCATGCGGCAGCCCACCGGCCTCATCCTGCATCTCCTCTGCCCTCCAGCCCCACCCTTGCCCGCACCAGTGAAGCCCCTGTCCCTGGTTGGGATCACCGCGAGCATCCCCCCGGGGCCCAGGGGGGGCAGCTGACGTGGGGTGAGCAGCCGAGTGTGGGGGGGACATTTCTCCTTCCCCATTCAGGGCCGGACCCACGGCTGCAAGGACCTTGGCTTGGTCCTGGTCCAGCCCCTGAGCATCCTGGATTCGCCCTGTTCTGGCCCCTGAGCACCCTGGTTTGGTTCCTGGCTTGGTCCTGATCCAGTGCCTGAGCACCCTGACTTGGTCCCTGGTCCCTGAGCACCCTGAATTGGTCCCCAAGCACCCTCAACTGGTCCCCAGCTTGGTCCCGATTGAGTCCCTGAGCACCCTGGCTTGGTCCCTGATCAGCCTGACTTAATCCCTGGTTTGGTCCTGAGCCAGTCCCTGAGCACTGTGGTTTGGTCTCCAGCCTGGTCCTGATCCAGTCCCTGATCAGCCTGACTTAATCCCTTGCTTGGTCCTGACTGAGTCCCTGAGCACCCTGACTTGGTCCCTGGTCCTTGATCAGCTTGGTTTAATCCCTGGTTTGGTTTTGACCCAATCCCCGATCAACCTGGTTTAATCCCTGGTTTGGTCCTGATCTGGTCCCTGATTAGCTTAATCCTTGTTTTGGTCCTGATTGAGTCCCCAGGCATGCTGGCTTGGTCCCTGGCTTGGTCCTGACTCAGCCCCTGAGCATCCTGACTTGGTCCCTGGCTTGGTCCTGATCTGGTCCCTCATCACCCTGGCTTAATCCCTGATTTGGTCCTGAGCACCTCAGCCTGGCCCGCAGCACCAAAGGCATCCAGCACTGATGTGTGTTGGTGTCTCCGATGTGAACACGGGGGCAGACGGCAGCGCTGGGACGAGGACGCTGCTGGCCTGCTTGTCCCCATCCCTGAGTCACCCCAGGTTTTGGGGTGCAATCCCTTCTCCTCTCCTAAAAACAGAAGCACGTGTGCTCACTCCCATTGCACCCCAGAAGCAGCTGCCATGGTGGGTGCCCTCCATCCTCCCTCAGCAGCACCATCCGGGGGAGCAGAGGACGAAGGCTTGAGCCCAGGTGCCTTCGCAGAGTTTTCAGGCTCAGCATCAATAATAGATGCACTTTTGGCGGGGGATTAATAAAATCCTCGTGCATTACGCATGGTCAGTGGCACGGGGGAAAGCAGGGCTGTTTGCTGCCCAGCCAGAGCTGACATCCCACCGAGAGGTGCCCAAAAGATGCCTCTTCCCAAAGGAAACGCGGGTGATGAGGTCCTTCTTAATAATATCTGGGGTGTCCCTCCAGAAAAAGGTTTTTTTCTGGAGCTTGGGGCCACCTGCATCCCCCGCAGTGGTCCTCACTCGGGGTCAGGCTCCCACGCACATGGGATGTTTCAGCTGGTGGGGCCAGCGGTGCTGTGGGCTGATGGGTGCCCACCTGAGGGGCACCAGCACCTTTGGGTGCCATCAGAGGTGTGAGGGACAGGTCCGAGGGGACATTTAGGATTTCTCCCTCAACCAGGTTTCCTTCCGGCTCCTTTCCCACCTCCCATCGCCCCTATGAGCCCTCAGGGACCCCACATCCCCAGCCCAGCTTCCCACCCCATCTCCACAGGGTGCTCCCACCCGGTGGGCAGCTGGGTGTGGGGCAGTGGATTTTGCCAGGATAACGCTATAACTGGGGTTTAACCCCGGGATGCTCCAGCCCACGTGTCAGCGAAGGGCTGGGGGGACATGAGGGGACCTGCAGAAGGGACCTCCCTCCTCCTTAACGCAGTTGGGGGGCAGATCCCCCCGGTCTGGGGCTGGTGAAGGGGAGAAAATCTGGTCCAGGGAGTAGATTTGCAGCCGTGTTCAACATCCCCTCCCTGCCTCAGTTTCCCCTTCTGCAAGAAAAGGCTGATCATCCCCAAAATGCCTGAGCAGCGATGACGACTGCCGAGCCCCGAGCCAGGAACGTGCCTCCCTGTCCCCGTCCCCCCTGCCCACCTCCCTCCGTTCCCCCAGGCACCTTCTCCTCCTGATTAATTAAAACCAACTGTCTCCCCCCCACCCCGCCCCGAGTGAGCATCTCCTGGTAGAAGGATGGGATTCTGGGGATATACGGTTTTGGCTGATTTTTAGCTGCTGGAGGAGGGAGGCTCTGAGATCAGCAGCACTTTCCAGGCTGCAAAATCTCGTCCTGAGCCATCCGGCTGCTGGCTGGTCCCACGAGAAGGGAAACAGCATCTCTCAGCCGTCTAAAAACGCCGAAAAGGAGGGAGCAAACAGCCCCCCCTCCCCGGCTTCGCAGGGGG